GTGGCGCGGCCCGGCGGGGGCTCATCCCGTCAGGAGCTGGGCTGGGGCAGGGCCGGGGAGGCCGAGGCGGTGCAGGCGCGCCCCGGGGGCTGGGAGGGAAAAGCTGCGGCGTCTGCCCCCTGGGATTTGCTGTTAATTGTAACCCTGTCCTGTGCTTCTGTCACGCTATTTAATTCCGCTGAGAGACGTGGCTTCCCATGCACTGACTTTAGCCATAATAAATCAAAGCGTTTAGAAGTGGTTTTCCTTAAGCCATCGGGTCAGTTTCTGCAGTGAAATTGTTCTGGGATCTGTCTGCGGTGCTTATGAAATCTGCATTTACTTTGATTGCCTTTGTCATCAGAAACAAGAATTTATCTGGTATTTGCTATTTTTCTTCAGCAAACATGAAGGTCATCACTTGTGAAATAGCGTGGCATAATAAGGAGCCTGTGTACAGCTTAGACTTCCAACATGGAGCTGATGGGAAGATCAATCGACTGGCCTCAGCAGGTGTGGACACAGCTGTTCGGGTAAGTTTCAGACCTGTTTGTTTTGGTTTTGTAGCACGTGCAGAGCATGGAATGGCCTGTTATCCACAGTATCAGGTTATTGGCCGGTATGTGACACTTGTGGTGGATGCTTTAGGGAAAGAATACGAGATTGTACAGCTATATACAGAATAATTGATCCCCTTGCGTACTGTCCTTGAGTCCTGCTGCTGAGTGTTGAATGTTGTTTTTAGGAAATTAACCTTCACTGACTGTTGGGTGATATTCCTGAGTAGTAACTGCTAATTTAGGGCAGTCTCGTGGGTTAGTGAGAAACAACTGGGTTGTTTCTTTATGTTAATCAAAGTTGAATTTTATCTGCTCTTTCATAAGTAGTCACTCAACAGTATGAGGTCTTTCTGCAGTGCTTTTCACTCAGCTTCAGGTGCATCTCGCCTAAGCAATTTTGTATTTGCACTAGCAAACTTTGTTAATCGGTTGCTCATCCTTTTGAGAGCCACTTATGAAAATGTTGAATAGCACAAGCCCCAAAAGATGCAACTGTAGGATTCACCTTCGCAAAATCAGGCAGTTGTTTACTGTCTTCTAAATTCTTATTGTACTTGAGGACTGTCCCCATTGTTCACTGATCTCTTTCTCTAAAAGCCTTAGCCTTAGTTGTAAAGCTCTGGGAAATTGAGTGCACTGGGTGAACCATGTTCTTTTTATCTGGATATTAGTCAACTCTTTAAGTAAACGTAACAGCCAAGTGAGGCACAATTTCCTTTGCAGAGAAATAAATTGAATTCATTTATTTATTTATTAGCTTCTCTGTATGGAAGGTAGACATGGGGGTCAGAGTTTTCCTGGGTCACCATTAGAGCAATTCTGAAAAACTGACACATTTATCTTCCCTGTTTTTTGGAGCTGAGAGTGAAACAGAGTAGCTTACCCATCACTGCGGGGCTGTCCTTTTTATCTTTGAGTTCCTGTAGGTTGCTTCAGTATATCAGCCTGTTCATTTCCTAAAAACCTTTTTTTGCTTGTTTGCTAAAATATCTACCATGTGAGACAGTTCCTCAAACTTACCCTGCAATAAAGAAGGGTTCTAACCTGGGATCCTCCTTGTGCTCCCTAGTAATGAACTCCAGTGCAAAGAATTCATGTAGGTTCTCTGCTATGTGTGTATGCATCTGTCTGTCTATCTGTCTTTGCGTGGTAATCTTACATTTTAATTATCTTTTCAGCCTGCTTATGTTCTGTTAGGCTTCCATCATCTATTTGAAGAAGAAATTAAAAAATACTGTAATAAGGTTTTACTACCTGTGCAATAGGAACTGAAAAAGAATAAAAGGTTTTCTTTTGTATTACTGCTGCATTTTCTTCTGAATAGGGAAATGCTCCATTTTAGCAGATAATTGAGTTGTAAAGGTCAGGTTTATACTTAAATTTGGAATGCTTGGATTGGATTCAGATTTCCTAAGGATCCTCAGTGCAGTATTTTGTGAAATATGACAATATTTCTTAGTGATTTATTAGCAAGTTATTATGAATGGTGGCTGCTGTTACATGTACATGGTTAGAATGCCTCTCTCTTCTGGAGATGGTAAAAGGGATAAATATCATTAAAAATTAGGGGTTTACTCTAGTTGCTTCAGCCAAAACTTTTCCCTTCCTCACTGACAAACTGTCGTCTTACCTGATTGTGTATGCATTTCAGGGATTTTAGCTGAACATATATATAGGTTACTGAATATATATTTAAGTCATATTTACACATACACATATTTTAGGACCAGAAAAATTTCATTCATCTTTGACATAAGAGGTACAGCTGCTACATCATCTTTCAGAGGACTGTTGTGTATAAAGAGGGAGAACTGGCAAAGTTACAGAGGTCTTAATTCAGACTGCTTCATTGGTTGTATATTCCTGTCAAGGCCTGGTTGTTGGGGTGTTTTGGTCTGCTTTTACTGAACTGAGCTGCATCCAAGAACAGATTATTGAAACACTGTATTTGGTTTGTGTGTGGCAGGGTTTTGGTAACAGGGGAGGGGGCTATGGGAGTGACTCCTGTAAGAAGCTTCTCGAAGCTCCCCAGCTCCCAAGTCAGACTTGCCTCTGGCCAAGGCCGAGCCGGTTAGCAACAGTGGCTGTGCCTCTGTGATAACATTTAAGAAGGGGAACCTGAGAGGAGGAGGAGTGGTGAGGGAAATACCTATGCTAAAACCCAGGTCAGTTGAAAAAGAAGAAAAGGAGAGGGGAGGGAGGTGTGCCAGAGCAGAGACGCACCATGCACACACCCCTGCAGCCCTTGGAGGTCACCGGTGGAGCAGATGCTAGCCTGTAGCCCGTGGAGAACCCCACACCAGAGCAAGTGGCTGTGCCCAAAGAAGGCCAGGACTGTGAGGGAAGCTCATGCTGGAGCAGTCAGTTGCTGGGAGGACTGCAGCCTGCATGGGACCCATGCTGGAGCAGCTTGTGAAGAGCTGCAGCCTGTGGGAAGGACTCATGTTGGAGAAGTTCATGGAGGATTGTCTCCCATGAGAGGGACCCCACACTGGAGCAGGGGAAGAGTGTGAGGAGTCCTCTCCTGAGAAGAAAGGAGCAGCAGAGACAACATGTGATGAACTGACGACTACCACCATCCCCTGCAGCCTTGCAGGCAGGAGGTAGAGAAATTTGGAGCAAAACTGAACTCAGGAAGAAGGGAGGAGTAGGGGAAGGTGTTTTTAAGGTTGTATTTCTCAGTGTCCTACTCTGATTGGTGAAGTGGTGGCGGTGGCGTTCAAATTAAACTGATATTCTTTCTTCCCGAGTCTGTCTTTTGCCCATGACCATAGTGTTCAAATTAAACTGATGTTCTTTCTTCCCAATTCGAGTTTGTCTTTTGCCCATGACCATAACGGGTGAGTCATCCCTCCCTGTCCTTGTTTCAATCCCTGAGCCTTTTGTTATATTTTTCCCCCATCCCACTGGGAGGGGAGGAGTGAGCGAGTGGCTGCATGGTGCTCAGTTGCCCTTTGGGCTTAAACCACAGCAAACATATAATGTGAGTTAGCTATCTTGGGACATTAGTCCTGCTATACGGGGACATAAAGGTGTTGCTTTCATGGCTGAACCAGTGTACAAGTAGAGCAATAGGAGTGGCATCATTAAGTGCTGTAAAATCTAGGACAAGTGGCATCAGGAATTCCTTAAGCCAGCATTTCTAGAAAAATATCCCTATCATGCAACCATCCTAATGCTATGATTATGATCAGTAGGGAACTGGAATTATTATAATTCTTGCTCATATCATCTGTTTTAAGTTAGTAAATCTGTTGATGTTTAGGGTATACTACAAAACTCTTCAACTTGCTCAGACTTCTGAAGAGAGCTAATACTTTTTTTTCTCCTATAGTAATCACTGTTACAGTTTGTGGTTGACAGGTTTGCTAACAAGATACTGTTAATTCCATGCTATTGAATAATGGTATTTATAGGCTTGTCGAATACCTTTGAAGCTAGAGGTTGTCAGTAAATGAAAAGAGAATAGTGTTATGTGTTTGGTTGAGGGTTTTTTAGTTTATTGGAAATACTCAGTAATATATTTCATCAGACTAAAAAAATACTGCCATATGATTACAACTTGCGGTGAGTTGACCTTGGCTGGCCACCAGGTGCCCACCAAGCTGCTCTATCACTCCCCCTGTTCAACCAGATTGGGAGAAAATACAATGGAAAAGCTCATGGGTCAAGGGGTAGGGAGATCACTTACTAATTACTGTCATGGGCAAAACAGACTCAACTTAGGGAAATTAATTTAATTTATTCCCAGTTAATAACAGAGTAGGATAGTGTGAAATAAGAACAAAACTGAAAACAGCTTCCTCCCACCCCTCCTTTCCTCCCAGGTTCAGCTTCACTTCTGACTCTTCTACCTCCTCCCATCCGGTGGTGTGGGCAATAGGGAATGGGGATTGTGGTCAGTTCATCACACATTGTCTCTGCCACTCCTTCCTCCTCACGCTCTGCCCCTGCTGCAGTGTGGGGTTCCTCCCACAGCAGACAGTCTTTTACAAGCTTCTCCAATATGGTCCTTCCCACAGACTGCAGTTCTTCACGAACTGCCCCACCACGGGTCTTTTCCATGGAGTGCAGTCCTTCAGGAATGGACTGCTCTAGTGTGGGTTCCCCACTGGGCCACAGTTCCTGCCAGAAAACCTGCTTCTGCATGGGGTCCTCTTCACAAGTCCGGCTGGGAGCTCGTTCCAGCGCAGACTGTCCACACGCTGCAGCCTCCTTTGGGCACATCCACCTACTACTCCAGCATGGGGTCCTCCACAGGCTGCAGTGTGGATATCTGCTCCAGCATGGACCTCCATGGGCTCAGGGGGACAGCCTGTGTCACCATGATCTTCTCCAGGGGCTGCAGGGGAATCTCTGCTCCAGCACCTGGAGATCTTCTTCCTTCATTCATTCCCCTTGGTGTCTGCACGGCAGTTTTTCTCACGTTTTTCTTGCTCTTCTCTCACAGCTGCCATGCAGTGTTTTTACTCTTTCTTAAATATCACAGAGGTGCCATGAGCATCACTGATGGGCTCACATTTGGCCACCAGGACAGTCTTGGAGCTGGCTGGAACTGGCTCTGTCCAACATGGGGGCAGTTTCTGGTGTCTTCTCAGAGAAGCCACCCCTGAAGCCTCCCCCAGCTACCAAAACCTTGCCCACATAGACCCAGTACACAGCCGTAGCTCACAGAGAGGGTTGTCGTGCAACTGCAGCTTTAGCTCTGCAAGTTTCAGATAAGTTCAGAATGACTTCCCAAGGACCAAGTTGTAGATTACTGAAGTGGTGCATATATATTACATCTTGGTCCTGAAAACTGTCTGTAATGCTTTTGTAACTAGATCTGGAAAGTGGAAAAAGGACCAGATGGAAAAGCAATTGTGGAATTTTTCTCCAACCTCGCCCGCCATACCAAAGCAGTAAATGTTGTGCGCTTCTCTCCAAGTGGTGAGATCCTAGCATCTGGAGGAGATGGTGAGAACTGCTTTTCTTGCATCTTATGCAAGATAATTATAATGTTGAACTAAATGTAATGCATTAACAAAACAGTGAGTGGGAAAGAAAGAATCTTCACATGATTTCTTCTACAGATGCAGTTATTTTATTGTGGAAGCTGAATGACAGCAAAGAATTGGAACCGTTAGTTTTTCAGGATGAAGATGAAGCTCAGCTCAACAAGGAGAACTGGACAGTCGTTAAAACTCTAAGGTAGCTTAATATTTTATGAGTTTGTTCTCTGTTCAGTGTTCTTGGTTCCCCAGTGGCTTTTATCATCTGGTACAGTCTTCTGTTCAGTGTATGTAAAACTTAAGTGCTCTCTAAAAGTTTGTTTGCTTTGATACTCATCCGTTTATTGTATTTAACTTTTTTCTTGATACAGTGCCAGCTTACATCTTCTGTTAAGGCAGAAGATTGGGCATTTATGTCACATAACTGATGTGCTTTGAAATTGATTCCTAGATTTGCAGTCACTTAAAGATTAGCGCAGAGATATATAAAGTAAATGTGACGTTTTATTTACTAGCTTTATAGGGGAAATTTTGATCATTATTAAAGGAAAAAGCATCAGCAGATAAAATGATTTATGCACTTTTGCCAGATGATAGCTGTAAGGCTCGACCAATCTTTTTCAATTAGTGCATTTTGTCGAAAAGCTACTGTATTATACAGCTTTTGTTTCAAGTGTAAGATAAAATAAGCACACTGTGCCTGCTAAGACTAAGTAAAGTATTAGCTGATTGTGGCTGAGGCATCAAACCACCACTGTCACTTGAACTACAACAGTGTTCTGTTCTCACTTTCATCTGAAGATTGAAAGAAATTAGTGGTTCTGAACTCAGAAACACATTTTGAATGATCAGTATATATAACTGCCTCACCTTCTGTGTAGTATCTGTTAAAAGTTTTGGTCTCTGTATGCTAATAAAAACATCAATAATTTAAAGTTGTTTACAAAAAAAAAAGTCTATCTGTAACTGATATATTCCTTTCAGCTGCTGAGGTTTGTGAGAACGGTTTCAAAAGTGCTAGTGGGATTTCCTGAAGAACCGGCATGATCCTTTAGGAACATCTAGAGTTAATCTCTTAAAGCAAACAAACAAACCTCATCCCCCTTCCCTAAACTTGATGTTGCAAATATTTATTATTAAAGTTACCACACTGTGTGCTGAGTGTTAAAATAACAAGCAATAATTTTTTTTTTTTATGAAGCCCTTTTAGGTTGTCCTGAATATCTTGCAATGTTTGTTTGACTCTATCTAAATCCACCTTAATTTTCTGTGTTTTACGTGGTTCTGCTGAGTATACATGTTTGTTTACTGCTTTTATGAAACCCATAAATATGCAGGAAAGTTGTCTTGAGTAGTGACACGTCCTAATTACTTTGGTGTAGTGTTTTATTTTCTGTTTGTACAAATCCTAGAAATGTTAGTTTCCAGATCTCTAGGTACAAATTAATAAATTACTTCAAATGTGGGATTTTCATTGTCTGAAAAAGACCTGTTGAAAAGGCAGACTTATTTTAAATATAAGTAGGATGTCTTTTTTTTTAATGTTCTACCATCTTCTGAACATGAAAGCTTTTTTTTTAAAAGCTGAAATTTATGCTGTTTGTTTTACTTCAGTGATACTGTATTTGCCTCTGACTTTTTTTTTTAACCTAAGAATGCAGAAAACTTGTGTTTACATATAGTTGTTAATTTTTAATTAATAAGTGGTTTCTTCTCTTCTGGCTTCTAGAGGCCACTTAGAAGATGTCTATGATATTTGTTGGACCTCAGATGGAAATTACATGGCATCTGCTTCTGTAGATAACACAGCTATAATGTGGGATGTCAATAAAGGTAAATGCTATGTTTATCACTTGTGTCTCCAGCCCTGGTGGAAGTGCCTCGTGGTGTTTGTCAACAGAGTTGAAAGCATGTTTTTTTGGCGATGGCTAGATTTCTGGGATTGTGAGGCAATAGCCCAGCATATAAAGATACCCTCAGGCCAGCAAAATTTACACATAAGTAATCCCTTCACCTTGGAATATTGAGGCAATAAACTTCACCCAATTTTTTTTCCCTCAAACTCCTACACAAGCAGCTTGCATATGACTTAACTCCACCCTACACTCCAGCAAACAAACAAAACTTGACTGGTATCAGATAACTACCTAGGTAAAAAAATGAGAAGCAAGTATGGGATACAGGCTCTGTTTTGCAAGATGTGGCCTTTCTTTAGGGAAAACACTTGTGTTCATTCTCATCCCACTGCAGTGGGATTGCTTGCATTCTCCAAGAAAGGTGCATCTGTAGAAGTTCTCATAGTAACCAGGTAGGTTAGGTTGCTTTACAATGGCGTGATGTTTTCTTATTAGCAGTGTAATCATTACTTTCACTTTTAATTTAATATGGAAATACCTAACTTTTTCTAAAGTTAAACTTTTTTCTCACATTTCTAATATTTACTGTTTAATTTAAAAAAAAAAGTAGAATCTAGGTCAATTTTTCAGTGCACACACACACATATGAAAATACAAATGTTCTGCTGCTGACATTTTTTGTGTTCTTGGTTTGGGTGCTTAATGCCTCTCCCACCCAAACTGTCACATATACTCATTCCAAAAGGCTTTACCATAAATACATGAATGTTCAGTTAAGAGTGTGTGTGCTTAGTGCATAAGTATATATAGGGGCATTGTGACCAAATGTCTCTTGTGCCTCAGACTGCTTGTAACCGTTTTGGAGGGACGTATCTATTAGAATTATTACTAAAAAAACCTGGATGGCCTCTTAAGGCAATATGTTACTTATGTGTAATGTCTCCCATTCTTACCGCTTGCTTTTAGCAAACAGTTAATTCCATAGAGGACATTTTGTATCTCCTAGGCAGAGACAGCTAGTAAATTGGAAGTAAGAAGCTATTACTGGAAAATACAGACTCTTTGATCAAAGTTGTGGGTACATGATAGGAAGGAGTTTCAAGGATAGCTTCCAGTAATACCTAGGCTAAAAGTTTGCATGTTTGTTGTTTTTTTTTTTTTTAAATGGCTGGAAGAAAATGAATAGTAAAAATCCATAGGGATGTTCAGTACAAAGAGAGCATCAATGGCTTAAGTCCTTGAGGTACAAACTGTTGGCAGCTTACAGGGCATCCTGTAGAAATATCATTACGTGTTTGGTCTGTTCTTACACACTTCCTTAGCTGTCTGTTGTTGGCCACAGTCAGAGACAGAGAACTGCACCAGAAGGACTTTTTGGTATTACGCAGCATGGCCTTGTGTAATCCTTTCGAAGAGGGATTGTCTTTGAAACTTGTAATCTTACATAGTGTTTCTTTACAACAAGACAACACTTAAATATTAGGAAAAAAACCCATCTGTCACTAGTATTCAAAACAGAGTATCTAATGAGGATTATCTATAACTTTGTCTCATCACAATGCATGATGGGTATGTGATAGTTGGATCTGAGACATCCAACTGTGGAACATCAGGTAAATCAGAGAGCTCCTGCCTTTGAGGGATCTTCGTGACAGAATCAGCTGTGGAAGAACATGAGTTAGCACGGCTATAGAATTGTTTGTGAAAGTTGCCCATGTGTAAGCATCACTCAGCATGTGTAGTATATTATTTTCAGTGCCTGCTCAGTAGAGTAGATGAGTTTATGCAGCTGGAAGTTATGTTTTAACATGGGAATTTTTGGCTCGGTATTCAGCCAAATTCAGTTAGCTGTTGAACAGTATTCTAGACCTGCCTGGAAAGTTTTTTCTAAATCACAAAGGTTTTGAAATACTTCTGTTTTGAAATATACTCATCTTGCATGTTTAATGCCTGAGCCAAGCTGCTTATCAGAGTTTAGTTTGTAGGGAAACAAGCCTTAAATTGGCATGTCACTATTTCCTGTGCTTGCAAAGATTCTAAAAATAAAGCTAATCTTTCTGATATTCTTACCAGTACCATCAATGTAACTGTGTGTTTAAAAAAATTATTTCTCTACATTTTGAAATGTTTTGTCTTATTTCTGAAATGAAGAAATGTTTTAAAGCACATCTGAATTTATAATCTGAAAACTGTTTGTAATTTTAGGACAGAAGGTTTCAATATTAAACGAACACAAGAGTTACGTCCAAGGAATAACCTGGGATCCTCTGGGCCAGTACATTGCAACTCTGAGTTGTGATAGGTGAGCTGTTGGTTTAAGTGTTTTGCCTTAGTATTCTTCCATACTTGAGGATGAATTAAAAGCAAGTGTGTGGGATAAATGTGATTTTTCTTTTAGTTTTATTCTGATTGTTTTGTAAGAAGGTTGATGTGAAAGTAAAATGATACTTTAGGTAATCTTTTGCTTGTGGTAAATGATTCATGAAGTCTGAGTGTCCTCTCTAAGCATCAAATAAGCTTACATAAACTTTTGTATAAATTTTTCTTCAAGAAATCGGTATTTGTCATTAGAGATACCAAATACATCTTAAGATAGTGCTAGTGCTGCATGCTCTGGTTGTTAACAAGCTAACAAGTTCATCCTTGTCATTTTACAGAAAGATATAAACAGGTTAAGAAATCAGTGAAAATGTTTTTCCACTAATATCTTCTTTTTACCCTCTTGCTCCCTCCATCTCCCAACAGTTTCATAAGTGATGTCATTGGGAAAGCTAAACACACACTTCATAAACTTGGCCCTTGTCAAAACTTTGAGTGAGCTTAAACTGTTTAGGGCATGTGTGCTGCTCTGAAGGGGTTTGCAGATGTCTAATAAATGCATGTCATCTGGCACCCGCTGCAAAGAAAATTGCTGTAATAGTGGAAAAGTAGTTTTGATTTAAGATTTGCAATAGTCTTAGGAAAATGGTAAGTTAATGGTAAGTCATTATGAGCCTCTGTCTTCTGATAATCGGTTATGTGAGATTTTTGTGCTTTTATTAAAATGAACCACAGTGAAACACAAGTAATAGAATGATGCACAAGTTTTTCTTGGAGTGAAGTTGCAAGCAAGAGCATGACCTAATCTAAGAGGGGAAATATCCCACCCCCTCAGGCTTCAGATGTTTTACTGCAAGGTTAGTGAATAGCATCAGCTCAGTGAGGGTCTAACAGGAGTCAGGCCAGTTGCCAGGACTGGGCACTCACCAGCCTGGGATGGGGAGACCTTTTTCCTATTTTAGCAGACCAGCTTAGCTGTGTGACATCCAGAGCCAGAAGTTCCACAACTGTCTCAAGCTGTCTGCCACAGCCTCACTTTCTAATTTCTCTTCCTAACTCTGTACAGGATTCTTTGTGGAGCTCTTTCAGCACATTAAATCATCAGAAAGCTGTCTGTTTTTTGTGTTAGGTTTGTTTTCTGTTAACCTAACAAACCAACATAACTCAGTGAAGGTCAGAGCTTGGCAGAAAGGAGGAGGTGGTGGGACAAGCAGTTGGGTTTGCTTCAGCTACCTGCTGTTTTAGTGAGATGAAGTCAGGGGAGTTCCAACGTTCTCTATTCTCCAGTTTTCATTTATTCTGAAGAGAACCACAGCACAGAGATGTAGTGAATTGTCTTTGAGGTGAGTTCCCACTCCGCAAGAACATGCTGGCTACTACAGCATAGGTAGGAATGGCATGGCCATTCGCTGTCCATGAATTCCTTCATTCCTCCATGAATGCATATGATGGTACTTCCCAAACCTTATTGAGTCAAATAATTATAACTGATTCATTGGTTGCTTAGCCATCAAAACATGTCCTCCCAGTGGTGTCTCATGAAGAGAGTTATAATTAAGGTGTAATTGTCATTTATATTTGGCGGTCCTGACTCAGAAGCGAGGTCATGTTGCATTATGCCAAACTTGGGGTGAAAGGAAACTGTTCATAGCTAACTGTGCTCTCCACCATGTAGGATCCTACGTGTATACAACACGCAAACCAAGCGTGTAGCGTTCAATGTTACCAAAATGCCATCTGGATCAGGAGCTGAAGGAGAGGTACATTGTTCTGCTTACTAATGGTACTGGGGAATGTGCTGGATGCTATTTTGCATGAGTTGTTCTATTCTATAAAACCAAATGGGCAAATATTTTCCATTCAAGTAATCTGTATGTCAGATAGTTTTGTCTCTATCTCACCTTTGCATTTTGTAAATACACACCACTTCAAGTTTCCTTGAACATGACAGTAGTGACTAAGAACAAACACTGCCTGCTGCTGTTGATCTCTTGCAAGTTCAGCTGATTAAAGTAGTAGCACAATGTCTTTGGGTGTAACTGTTAAAAAATAGCTCATAGTGAATTCTTAATAGGAAAAACTTCAGACATGTCTGTCAGTAGCTGTAAGTTTATTAATGAATGTGACATCAATAATATTTTAAAGTCAGCAGTCTGAAATTTTCAAAAAGGTAGCCTGATTTTTGGCAAAAATAGGAAATAGGGAAAATTTAGGAAATTCCAACCCTAAGAGGGAAAACAAAGAGCTTTTTTTTCCTCAAACAGTTCTGAATGATAGCAAAATAACACCTTCAAGCTGGCTGTAACCTTTTTAATTCTTTATATTCCTTTTCTTTTTTTATGAAAATATTTGTAACAGTTTTGTAGAGACTAAAGAATAGGCCTGAGAGAGGGTGTTTTACCATTAGAGGAGTTTTCTTTAAACCTCTAATACTAGAGTTAAAATTAAATGCCTAAGGAACAGGCTTTTATGTTGACTGTTAAATAATGTTCTCCAGGTTATTACTATTTTTTGATTACTGGTCTAATGTGACTGCTCTTGGAGTGTTTTGATTAGTAGCTGAAGAGGGATCAAGGACTATTTTTCTTAGCTGTGAAGAATTTATAGCACAGCAGAAAGTGGGTTTGAAGGAGCCATGGTTTTTAAAATATTTACATTTTATTTTAAAAGTTCCATCAGGTTGGATTGTACAACTGGATGTTTTTTCTCGCTTGAATTTCAGCTGACATATTCATGGCACTTTACACAATCACATTTTCAATGTTACAGGCTAGGAGCTATCGGATGTTTCATGATGACAGCATGAAGTCGTTTTTCCGCAGACTCAGTTTTACTCCTGATGGCTCCTATTTACTGACTCCAGGTATGTGAGAATGGGTACTATAACATCTGTTAAGCTCTGGTTTGGTTGTGCATCAAGATTGCTTTCAAACTGCTAAGAGATGCTTGTTTATATTAATTGTGCCACTCCTTGTTCTTCCTGTTGAAGAAAATAGAGACTCCACGATACTCTTCCATCAGCAGTCCAGAACATCGACTTTCTTCTGTGATAAAAAATATATTAATGGCATTTTTCTGACCCGAAACATATACATTACAACAATACAGCTCTGTTAAAATAGAACTGAAGAAGAATAAGTGGTTTCTTTTGCCTGGTCTCTCTTTGTTTGTATCCTTTCTTAAGAAAATTCTGCAGTCATAGTAAAAATAACATTGCAAGGAGGGGATCAGTTTGCCCATATAAGCACTGCTTTTATAGATGTCTGGCAACATCAAAAAGAAGCTTTGAGGGGGAAATATATAAGGGAAACAAAACCAGTGCTAAATAAATATTTGGGATGCCTTTGTAAGTAGTGTTCAGGTTGCACAGCTCTTGCCCAACTGACAAGCCTAATTCCTAAGAAATAGAATGTTTATGGACATAAAGTATGTACTCAGTACCTTTTTGAGTTGATGAGTAATGTTTTAACCTTTATTTTTGCAGCTGGCTGTGTTGAATCAGGAGAAAACGTAACAAACACAACGTATGTTTTCTCCAGAAACAATCTTAAAAGGTAGAGCTTTATATTAAGGATCAAAATATCTTTTTATTTAAAAAAAAAAAAAAAGCTGTTTTCTGAAATACTGATTCTTTATAAAAGGCCTGTGGGTCACCTACCATGTCCTGGAAAGGCAACTCTTGCTGTTCGCTGCTGCCCAGTCTACTTTGAGTCAAGACGAGCACTTAATAAAGGTACTGTAAATCCTTCAGGAAGTATGATTTTACAGCAAATATGTGAAAAGGCCAATGTGGCTGTTTACTATTTTATGCTCTAGCCTTTTAACATTCCATTAAGATAGTGTTGTACCACATTTCAGAAGCTGTTTCCTGATTCTAAAACCCTGAATTCATTAAGTATCTTGTGAGTAGCTTTTGATATAGCAGATAAATGTTCTTATTTGGCCTTTTCGTCTACAGAAATGCTGTTTAATGTCTTTCTTTAACTTTTAATCATTTTGTATGAGTAAAAGTAAATAACTTGGCTTGGCACTAAAGGAGCAACTCAGTGAAATATTTTCTGTTAGTCTCAACTACCCACATCACAGAAACACCAGATTTGGTGTAGTTTGCAACAACTGTTGACGTTTATTCAAGGAAGCCACACCTGAAGCAGTGCTGGCCAGAACAGGAGTTCTGAGGTGGGGAAAGGATTCTATAAAGTTGCATGAGAACTTAACTGGAGATTGAAATCTAGCCTTACTTGTGATCCTAGTGGGTCCATGAGTGGTTATATTTTAACACGACTGGTCTTACTCTGATGAAGAGGCAAAGCTTTTCTCCGTTCTTCAGAGGGTCAGTTTGTAGTATTCTTTACAGGATTTAGAAATTACCTGTTGTGTTCCGTATTTTTATCATAATCTTCAGATCCATTGTAATCCAAAGTAAGGAGATGAGTCTGCTCTTGGTTTCTGTACCTCCTCTAAACAGAGTGTTTAGTTTCTGCAACATACATCTAGAAAAATGAAAATCTATGATAGTCTAGAAATCTATAGATGTGAGTACCTTACATTATGTTAATGGCCTGTCTGTTTGAGTGAGCAGCTTCCATAATCATAGAACTGGAGCTCTATATACTAGGAATTTCAGAAAGCAGCTAGCTAGCATTCAGCTTCCAGTGAAAGCTGGAATAATCTGCCCTTACAAAGAGCTAATGTTGCAATGGAAAGACTAGCTAGGAGCTGAACCCAAGATAACACAAATGGAGCTGAATCCATTATTTTGACTGAGTAATACAGAATATAACGTGGTATAAATTTGTTGTGACCTTGATTTACACTATATCCTAAGATGTGTTTGTTTGGACTTCAATACTAAAGTTAATATAAATATGCTGAAAAATTTCAACTGGAGAATATATGACAAACTTTACAAAACAAAATAATAGCAATCCAGATGGACAAAGCTTCTGCCATTTTTTCTCTACAGCTAATACAATAGAGGGCAGATTTCAGGCAACAGAAATGTTAGCACTTCACATTAAACTTTACGTTTCATAGAAGTGCTATCTTCTTAGCCATTATCTTGATACTGATTAATAATGTAATCTTTATTTAGATTCATGACTAAGCTGGTGCAGTTACTACCTTCCAGTGAATGCAAGGGAGAACTCTTAATGTGTTCACTTCTTTCCATTCTAGACGAAATCAGTCAGAAATCATCTCCTGCTCTATTTAATCTGCCCTATCGATTGGTGTTTGCTGTTGCTTCAGAAGATTCTGTGCTTTTTTATGATACTGAGCAGTCCTTCCCCTTCGGTTATGTTTCTAACATACATTATCACACCCTGAGTGACGTTTCATGGTAGGTAATTGTTACTCTCTTAAGATTTGTTGTGATGTAGGAAATGTCCTTTTTACATGTTGAAGTTCTGCACAAAATCTTGCTTTATTTTTATGCTTTGTTTTTGACATGCATGTGGTCACTGTCATCGCAGTGTCAGAACAGCAATCCACCTCTTTTTTGCCCTGTAAAGCGGAGAATTATGGTTCTTTATTGGTTGGCAAACAAGGTGCAAGCACCCTGGGGAAAGAAGATGGAAATTTTAATGAAAACTAATGTATTAGATGCCCATGAAAATTACTTATTGTTCAGGCAGTGTAACTGGTAATAATGAAGTTTTTTGGAGGTTTTGGAAGTTATCTTTATGAATTCAGGTGTCTGTATCCTGGCCAAATTCTGCTTTATCTGCACATTTCTGCTTAGTGTTTATGTGTGGGACGAAGTAATTTATCTGACTTGATGTGGGGAGTCAGAACTGGAGTGGAAAATTAAACCCTAGTCTGGCAATCAGGATACAACCTTCCGGTGGACAAGGCTTCTCTCATGCCTTTCTAGCCAGTATACCTAAGCTGAGGATCACATGGAGGCCTCTTTCAGAACTTATAAGTGATGCTCAGTCACTCTGAAAACCATTGTGTGTGAGGAGGAGGGGAATGGAAGAGAACAGAAAATCAATAGTTTTTAATCAGTGGTAGATAGACATTACTTGGTGAAATGAGCATGAAGAGCCTATTCAGGTGAGCACCACAGTGATTCTGAGCATTGCCTCTACCTAGCACAGGGAGCACAGTCAGAGAGCTTGAAGTGCTCTGCTGGTCTGAATGAGGAGAGTTCAGACGTATTTCAGAAACTCTGGCTGAAGGTTTGTGTACCTGCAATTGAACCATACTTTGTGCCAGCTTAAATGCATGCAGGTGCTGGCAGCAGCGTATTACAAGTGATTGCAGACAACACCAGAGAGATAAATCAGATGCAAAGGCCATAACTGAAGATCTTTTGTTCATTTGATTTGGATGTCTTTCACTTGACTGCAGTTTTATTTAAAGGTATACATGTACTTGGGGAAGGGAGGAGGAAAAGACGGGTACAGCATGTGTTATAGATGGACAGGGTGAGGGTTGAAGAAAAGTTCTGACCTTTACTTTTAATGGGAAAAAAAAAATCACAAATAGGTCCAGCGATGGAGCCTTTCTTGCTATTTCTTCCACCGATGGCTACTGTTCATTTGTTACCTTTGAGAAGGATGAACTGGGAATGCCACTCAAGGAGAAGCCACAGATAAATGTCAGGACTTCTGGTGCAATGGAGAAGAAAGTGAAAAAGAGCCAGTTGCACAAAGTCATTTCCCCAGCCTCTAGGCTGGCGGAGGGGACTCCTCCCAGCACTCCTGCCCTCCAACCTAGAACACCCACAGCTGCAAGTAAGGACTTGGCTTCCACACCTGTTGGCATAAAAAATGTTCCAGTCTCATCCTCAGATGAGAGGAAAATCAGCCAGCCAGCCAGCCAGTGCACTAAAGTAAACCAGCCCAGGAGGATTACTTTCAACACTTTACAAGCATGGAGCAAGACGCCAAGGTGAGATTTATGTAGCCATTTCCAGTCATAAATATGAAGGCCAAGACAAGCTGTGCTTTTGCTGCATTGAAAGGTTGAGGTTTAGGCATAAATTCCCAGCCCTGTGTCTTGGTGGTAGCTGTCTTGACATGAAATTTTTTGTCCAGTTGTACTGCAACTGAAAGGTCAGAATTTAATTTGGGATTCAGGAGACAGCTTTTATATTTCTGTCTGAAATGTGAGGCAATAGCAGAGTTAACCTAACCATTATACCTTGCCGATATGGCAGCAACAGATATCTGTCTTCAGGTCCCATCCTCTGTACCTGAAGCCTTCAGTTGACAAGACTAAAGCCCCTTCTGATCAATATTTTAAGAAGAGTGCAATTCTAGACAGACCCTCAGTGTGCACAGCCATGGGTGTGGGAGTTAATGTGTTAATGGGAGTTACTGAGGTTATTTCCGAAGGTGAAAATCAAGATTTTTAGAAATTTCCTGTAATCCATGTATTGATTGTCAAACAACCTTCAATAGAAGACCCTGAGCTGGTATGCAACCGTAAGCAGACAACCATGCAATTGGAGGTGATCTAGACCTTGTTAGCAAAACAAGGCTATTTTAGAAATAAAGGAGATTATTATAACTTCTTGTGGGACTGTTTTATTTAGTAGGTGGATAGGGAGGAAGTGGTGAATAAGAAGGCAAGGTAGTGGATTTCATCAACAAAAGCAAAGAAAAATCTTGGACATGACAGTTTTCTACACACCAGTGTTCATCTGTATTGGAATTAAGAAGTCAAAGGTTTGTAGGTAGTTGAAAGTGACTTCTGCCTGAAGGGTGGAGTGACTGATAGAACTAAATAATCTTTTTATTTTTGAGAATAACTGTATTTAATCATGTCAACTGATTAGGTCATGAGTGTCATCCTGTAGTATCCTGCATGGTGCTACTTGTAAGACATTTTTTAATGGTTCAATCCTCTGTCACTTTTGTGCTCAATTTTTTAAGTGCTATCCAGAAGAGAGCAGAAGAAAATAGATGTACAGTAATAGATAGTGAACCTCACTGGGCAAAAGAATTCCCTAGAGTTTTATGAATCTGAAGTGTTAACATGGATGGGGCTAGGGAATAGCAAGTGCAGCCAGTCTTAGTTTTAAAATACTTGACCAAGATATTGTGCTCTGAAGGTGGATATCAAGCATTGTGCCACATACAAAATATGCAAAAGTACTTTCTAGTGGAAAAGATAGCTAGTGGTATTTAAAGTACTTCTAAAAAATGCTCTATTCAATATATAACAAGAAGAAAAAATGCACAGTAAAATATATCTGAACTACCTTTAAATTTAACTGATTCTATCTGAAGTTTTGTGGAAGTATTTCTATCTGAAGTATTTGTGGAAATGATGATATAAAGCAATTGAACGGTTTCTGCTCTTTTAAAGGAGAGTAAACTTGATTCCACTGAAGCCAGATACACCAACCTCTCCATATACAGATACAGTTCCTATACCTCCTTCCTCAGAACAGGAACATGGTAAGCTTTTGTGGCTATTAATGTCCATCAAAGTCTCTTGCCAGTCAGTCCATTCCATCATAGACAAGCACAACCAAGCACAAACCTAAACCTAGTTGCAGATTATAAAACTGCTTCTTTGTCTTGGTGTGTTTGAAAGGTATTTTTGACAATATGAAATGTGTTCTCACTGTGGTTGCTCTTGGGCAGGTGCTTATGTGACAATATGTTGTTACAGTTCTTATAGTAATGGGTGTGTTAGCTGACACTAATGAAGAAGAGTAAATTCACTTGGATGTAATGTTCTCCAGGTCCTACAGGTGGGTTTTAAAGACCCTTGTACTTTCAGAACATCATTGTTTCAGATGTTGGAGTCTCTCAAACCAGGGTTGGTTTTTTATTTTTGGTGAGTGCTGAATTGTTTGTGAATTTAGCAAACCAATTTACTTCCTCAATCTGGATTTACTTATCTTAAATGATATTCCTATCTGTCTGTTTCAGAGAGGCCGTTACCATCTGATGACAGTCTTCAAAATCCTCCAGCATCAAAACGTCCTAGAACTGAGGAAATGTCTCTTTCTACATCTGCTGAATATCAAATCAGCTGTGATTCAAAGGCTAAGCTTTTAGTAGACTCTTCACAGTCTGAAGGTGATGCAGCCGTATGAGTGCATTTCTTTCTGCAAATGTTAAATCCTCAATTCCTGATTGAAGTACCATATGCATATTTGATGTAGTGCTATGAAGAAAGAAACTGGCAGTAGAAGACACAGATTTCAGGAATGTAGCTTTGCAGAAGAGGAAATAGCTGTGAAGTGACTTCTAAGTGCATTTCTACTTCTTAAAGACCACATTCTTCAAGAAATGCCATAGCTGAAGGAATCAGTGAAGTCTGGGTATTGAACAGCCATACAGTAACATAAGAGTTTCCATCAGAATCCCGAAGTTGTTTATAAAGTATTAAGGTCTTCAAGTAACCTGGCTGGCAAGTTCTCAGAATAGACTTTCTAAGGACTTAAAACACATTCATAATGATTTGATGAGGTTTAAGACCAAATAAACCATTTCATTTGAGCATCGTGGCTTATATATTTAGCAATGTGCGAAGTAATTCATGCTCTCCAGTACATGTGGAATGGAAGCTGATGTTCACATGATGTGAATGCAGCAGCATACAATATGACTAATATGATTGAAATATAAATCAGAACTTGTAATTGCAAGAAACAGAAAGCAAAAGGAAGAAAACCTCTGGCAAGCATTAAACAGCAGAAGAAAGTTCTTAATTGTTTAGTTTCTGTATTTAAAAAAAAACCCAGATTTTTCTGGGGCATCAGGATTTGAGCATATACATTAGAAGTTTCTGCCTTTTCTCTAAATCTTAACTCCTTTAGCCAATAAAATATAATATAAATCCAGATTTTGTTAAACTTCTAAAAGTTGATTTCTTTTTAGCATTTAATACTCGCATTAAGCTTGTAGTATTTAACAATTTATCTAAGACCTGCAGATAGATAACAATGAGACCAAAATACTTGAAAATCACTACACTGGATTTGCTGGTGGTGTGCAGGCTTAACCTCCAAAAGTAGAATGCTCAGCCACAGTATTCTGAGCTCATCCACTTCCCTTTTGTTCAACATCATGGACTTGATTTTTTAAAGTAAGATAATACTTAAAATGTGAATAGTTGTTCTAGCTGATGATAAATACAGTTTAAAAGAGTATTTTTCTCTCATGATTCAGGCTAGTCTATTGTTTGAAGTTCCAGAACACACAGGAGCATAAAGCTGCAATTCATATTAAAACTCTCTGACCTTCATTCTTCCCTGGATTTGGTTGTTTTTAAGGTGTGTAATTTACTTAGTATTTGTTTTCTGCCAATTTCTAAGGAAGTGAACCAATATGTAGAAAAGCAGAAATACAGATGTTTCACAAGTGATGTATAAAAATTTCGTAGGAAATATTAACAATACCTATATCAGTGTTTCAGGCAAATGAAGTATGTTGCCTAACTAAATTTCAACATAAATTAATAAGCAAAGAGTTGTAGGAAACTAACTGCATCTTTCATTTCAACCACTGAGATGAGGATGGAGATTCATTAGACTTACCCAAGGCTGTTTTTGGGTTTTTTTTTTCTAGTAAGGAATATGAAGACTTAATTACCAAGCAAAGACACATCTAAAACTTTTTTTTCCCCAGAAGTTTACAGAGATATCTAAACTAAACTTTGTAGAGATTTGAATTGATAGCTAAAGCAGATATTTGTAACATGCATTGCTGGACTTGCTATTTTATGTTTTGTCCAGTTTGAGCTATAATAATACTGGCATTTCATCCGTTTGCGAGACAGTGACCCACTTAGTACAGCGCTGCAGTGTTTTGTTTTGTGCACTGCAAAGGATCCTTTCAATTCAAACTTACACTTCTAAATACTAATTGCAAAGCTATCCTGATTGGTATTTTTAACTTTTTTTTGTTTCTGCAGTGTATTTCGATCTAAACTACTCTTTCTGTTGAAAACTGGTAGGTTGGGTGTATTACTTTAGTATTATTGGTATACCTGGTTTCTGTGGTCTTCATTCTTCAGATGCAATTAATTGCTAGATTATTCATCTTTATTTCATACCATAACCATTCAGATAACATCCATATTTGTTTATATGGTTGCTCAACTTATTTTCACTCTCTTACAATCTAACTGGATTTAAAAGTTAATGTGGCTTCCACTGCTACCATTTGGAGACTTTTCACATCATGATCTCTGTCAGAACACTCTACTGATATTTTGTCTTCCCTAATGGGAATTTTTTCCCTTTGGTTCTAGTTGTCTGTTGTCGCTATGGTTTCCTACTTCTCTTTTGTTGATTCTTTTCCATACTACTTTGTCAAATTTATATGGCACTAGGTTTTTAACCCTTTTCTTTACATGGATGTCATCATTTGTATAATAAATTGCTATCTTTAACACTGTGACAGTCAGAACTGTAGATTCCTGCTTCTTGTGATCCCTGTTAAAGTTTCTAAGGGACCATCCCCACATAACATTCATACTGAAGACACAAAAAGTATTCTCACACTGTTTATAGAAAGTGGATTCATGTTTTGTTCAGTCATGTGCTAGACTGCTCCAAGGCAGAATATGCCCAGTGCTGTTTCAATTCTTTCTTGACAACTTCATAAGGTGATGTATTGCATAGACGGAATTCTTTTAAGAGTGCCTTGTAGTCCAGGTTTGACTTAAATGTAACTTTTAATTGGCCAGCTGTATTCTTTGTACTTCAAATGGACCCCGAGTTCATAATCCAGCTGTGAATGTGGTGTAGCTGTTGTCTTCTTAAGTCACATTCTGCTCAGTGCCTTATGTAAGGATCTTGTCCAGTCTTAAGGACTATTATCCCGCTTCTGCTGTTTTGATGAGATAGCATTATGGAAAAATGCCCTATCTACATCTTTTGACCTCATAGCAGTAAGAAGAGGGAGCTGAACTCATAGAATTAACTTCTGTAAGAGGCAGCAAATCATTGTCACACTCAGGGAACCATGGAATTCTTCATTTGGGGTGTCCAAGTCCGGCTCCCATCAGCACATTTAGTACTGGTGTGTGTCAGTGTCCCACAGGCCTATCCCCTGGAAAAACAAGTCACACAAAGGCCTTTCCCTAGGTTCTAGGCGGGCACAGGGGACTGCTTGAGCAGGGTGGTTGGACCAGATGACCTCCAGAGGTCCCGTCCCACCTCACCTGTTCTGTGATTCTGCTGCCGTTTCCAGTTTGACATAGTTTGAACAAACAAGTGTTTTCACACTTAAGATAGAGAAATAACCAGTCATTGGAATCCATTGAGATAGGTGGTCTTCATATGACATTTCTTCCCATCTTCCTCAGAATCACATGGAGTTTGCATAGATGGCACAAATTGTAATGGAAGGTGGGGAATAAACATATCCACTATGGCTACTGCACAGATAAAGCCTTCTGCTCTGTCTCACAGTATAAATATGTATGTGGACTGTGTATCTCAGAGTTCAAGTTACAGACAAGTGATGTTTTCCCTTTTTCAGATTGATTTTCTTGCATGCCTTAGACGTATTACCATGCACTTCTCTGGCTTGATATTAGATCTTCTGAAGTCATCATTATGTCCCAATTCTGCATACTTGTATTTAAGTATATGCCTGTATGTATGTGTAGTCATTTTTCCATGTTAGAAAAATGGTTCGTTCGTTTCCTTAAACCATGTGCCATTTTTTATAAGTTCAGTGAAGGGCTGAAAAAGCCTAGCTGCAGAAATGCAAAGCATGAAACTTCTGTGTTAAAACAAAGTGCAGAGGCACTGCTGGGTATCACTCTTGTAACAGGATTCCTCTTCCTGGGGCTATGGGGCAAAAATGCTACAGCAGCCAGGAGGAGAAAGAAAATGGTTATTTATTTAAAATAAACAAGTTGTATGTGAATCTATCACAAATGTAAGTTATCATGAAAGAAATTGTTTCTATTGCTTCTAAAAGCTTCTTTCTAAAACAACAGGGTTTGCTTTCTTATAAATTACATTTTATAATTGACTAAGGAAGGTAAGTCCATACCATGATAGCTTTCATCTGTAGGGAGATATAAAATGATAAACCTGAAATGCCATGTGCAGCCCCAAACTTTCCAAGACTGTCTTAAGCATAATTTCTGTTGAAAAGCTCTTTGAAGAAGTAACGAAAGGAATCTGGAAGGCATGTGGACCATTTGTGGACACTCCAGCCAGCTTTTGATTGTCTTGCCATGAGTTACCAAGTTGTGTGTGATACAGTTTGCTACAGGTACACAAAGTATTTCAACATCCAGGATCTGGTGCTGCCACCACCAGTGCTAACACCTACCCCTCTGTGTGGGAGCTGGCAAGAAGGAAGAGAAAAATATTTGTATATCCCACCCATAAGTCAAAAAACAATCATGCATGTCCATATAACAATACCTTCTTATCTATCCTAATCTGCTTTAAAAGGTTGCACTGCCATGTTCCTGGTCTTCCAGCCATTAAAAGGAAATGAAAAAGGTGGGGGCAGAGTCACACAAAGCTGCTGGAACCTAGGAGAGAGTGGCCACAGAGGGTGACAGGTGTAAGGGTAATATGCAGTCAACCCTCGCGCATAAAATATGTTCTGTGTGCAAAAGCAAGAAGGTGTGTTATTTTTTATTCCTGCCTGGCAAGGCACTTCTTGCTGCTTCTGCCATGTGTCAGGCTAGTGCTGCACAGTCAGTGATAGGTCTTTTCCATGGCTCCTCAGCAAAAACATGTGCACATACCACCTTAAAAACCAAATACTTCTGTGAGCCACTGAACTAGGACAGCCTTGTTTGATATGGATATATAGCTAGTTGCACTAGGGGTTTCAAATAGATTTTGCAGCTTTTTAGATGGGGGGGGGGGGTTCACAACTGTCTTGCTCCTGGAAAGACTTTCTGGTGTGTAATAATGTTTAATTTTTAGACAGCTAGGCATCATGCCTCTGTGCTATTGATGTTAGTTTTAACTTTTCTTCTATCCAGATACATCTTGTAATTATTTAACCACTGTCTTTTTGTCAAAATGTGGTTGATATTTGCCTATGGATTCAAAACAGAATCTCTGTATTGTGTATGCACACTCTCTATGTTTACATAAACATTTCTTATAAAGGAAAACAGGCCTACCAACTAACTATATTGTATTTGTGTTTTCTGCTGTATCAGTTGCAGGATCATGAAGAGGCAAACAGGAGGTACGTGATAATGCATGGTATCATAAGTGACATGATAACAGGATCTGTTACATGAAACCTATCTACTTTTCACACCACTCTTTTCTTCATGCTACTATAAATGATTTTCCTGTTGCAGTTCAAAGGCTGTAGATCACTGCTACATGGCAATAACAAATGTCATTGTGGAATATGTGTAGACAAGTCAGTATTGCAAGCACATGAAACTGGAGGGAGGTCATTCCCAAACATAGCATACGAGGGCCAGATTTTCAGAAGTACTAGAGTTCATGGCAAGAGTTGGACTAGTTGATCCTTAAAGGT